TCCTGGAGCCAAACTGGCATGCACAGTGGGGTGCTGCCACGGCCCCCCGGCCCAGCCCCAGCCCCAGCCCTGGCGGCCCAGGCCGGCTTCACAGCCAGCGAGGCAGCCCTGGCCCCCGGCCCCCCACTCAGAATGACGACGGTCCCAGGTGCTTCCAAAGGCGTTCGGAGAGCCGCACGGGGGCCGCAGGAGAGCCCTCGCAGTGCCGGGCGCGGAGGCAGCTCTGGTCCCATGGCCTCCGGACGGCCGTCTGCAGAACGGAATCGGCTCCAGCAAAGCTGTCCCTGTACTCTGCTAAGAGGGACCCGTCACCAGTTCGCCAATTGCATGAAAGCAGATTTTTAAAAAACCCAAATGATCTGTTGGCAACATACAGGTATGTGAGGGGGTGTCACATGGAGGTGGGTGGGGACCTGTTCTCCCCTGCAGAGGAAGGCAGGATGAGCTCCCACAGAGCCAAGCTCAGGGAACCCAGGGCCCATTTGGATGCCAGGAAGCACTTCCTGACAGTCAGGACCCCGAGGGTGTGGATTGGGCTTCCCCGGGAGGTGGTTGAGGCCCCATCAGTGCGGGTGTTCAAGGACAGGCTGGATGTGCACATGGTGGGCATGCCGCGAGCGGAGCCGGCTGGTGCCGGAGGTCAGACTAGATGGCCCAGGAGGTCCCTTCTGACTCGCTCTGTTTCTATGTTTCTATTTTTCCAAATGGCACACGTTGTAATGAATAACAAATAATTTGTATAAAAATCACAGTGTCTGGAATTTCTGCAACATAAAATACATTTTTTCACAATAAATGGAGAACATCCATTAAGTATTGGGAGAGCTACACCTATGTTAAGCTTTACCATTAATGTATCTGGAAAGAAAATAAAAATATTATGTATTTATTTATTATTTTCCGATTTCTATCCTGCCTTTTTCCTACCAAGGGCTCAAGGCAGCTTACATCCTTCTCCTCCTCTGTCTTATCCCCACAACAACAACCCTGTGAGGTAGGCTGGGCCGAGAGCCTGGGACTGGCCCAAAGGCACCCAGCTGGCTCCATGGCCAAGCGGGGACTCGAACCCGGATCCTCTGAGTCCCAGTCCCAGGCTCTTCACCACTACCCCACACTGGCTCTCACTATATGGGAAAAATAAAGTAATGTTTCCATAAATTATTATTATTATAATTATTATAACATTTCTATGCCGCCCCTTGCCGAAACCTCGGGGCGGCTTACAACACAATATAATATATTGAAATACAATAGAACATAATAAATGACCATTAAATACAAAAATACAAAAAATACACTGAGTTACAAATATAAAATTAAAATTATCAGTATAAAATAAGTAAATAAAAATATAGGAGGAGAAAAGAGAAGGAAGAAGAAGTTGCCCTGGCCAGATCATATGTTTTAACAATTGAAATGATGTTTAAATAAAAAGGTCTTTACCTGGCGCCGAAAAACCAGTAACGACGGTGCCAGGCGGACCTCTTTGGGGAGTGAATTCCATAGGTTGGGCGCCACCGCAGAGAAAGCTCTCCTCCGAGTACTTAGTCTCCTAATTTCTTTCATGGAGGGTTCCCGGAGAAGGGACTCTCCCGCAGATCTCAAATAAATGTTTCCCATATATAAGAGATTCCCATAATGGAACATCATATTCTCTCAGTGCTCTCTGACAATTCCATTCCTTCCTTTAGAACCATTTTAGCCCTGCTTTCTTTGAAAAACAATGTAATTGGCTTTTGGCAATGATGCGCTTTTTGAAAATAATTCCCATTTTAGTAGTTCATGGCAACATAACTCCAAAAATAAAATACAGAGTTCATCCATTTACTTTTATCTAAGTCTGTTTCTTTATATGCTATTTATTCCACTGCTGCATTACTTGTAACACTTTATTTTAAGATGGCTTGTAAAAGGCTCACCGAAACCATGGGATGGAAAGAGAGAGAGACGCCGGTGGGGCTTCCCACAAAACTCGGCAGTGCTGCGTCTCCTACCGGGGCGATCTTGTTCTCCCGGCTGGCAGCTGATGCAGAAATCAGCAGGCAGAGCTTACACAGGTGCAACCCTGCGATCACGATCACGGGCGCATCACCAGGCCCGAGAAAAGCCCTTTTCTCTAGAAATCAGCGGGGCGCATTCTGGAAACGCAGGGGACACTGCCCCGGAGGCAGCCCAGAGAAGGCTCCTCGGCACCGCCAGGTAGCAGTGGCTCCCCCAGAGTGCAAGTCCCACCGGCCCGGCCCGGCCCGGCCCGGCCCACCCTCCTCCTCCTCCTCCTCCCTTTGGAGCACCTTCTTTGGCAGGCAAGTGGGAAAGATCGGCGGCCCCTGCGACCTGCTGGGAAGTGTCAGGTGCGTTACGTGCCACCCTTTAATGCTCTGTGTGCGAAAGGGCAGCTGAGGACTGCCCAGGCGGCCACCTGGAACGATTCGCAGGTAGCCGGTTATTCTCGAGAACAAAGACACCCTTCCCCTGCTGTGGATTTTGGGCTCACGCGCACCTGGACGCGGACCTCTTGGTCAACACACTGCTGTCTGTATTTTGCCTGGCTTCAGTGGACAAAGCTGCCACCTGGATTGGGAAACCGGAATTGTGCAAAGCTAGTTCACAGTTGCGACTTTTCTACATGGTTTTCTTTGGGGTTAAAAGCCGGGGGTGGATTTGAATGGCACGTGGGTGGAAACAGTATCCCAGAAGCTGTTTTCTTTGCTTTTCCATAAGTGTATCATATCAGGCACTGCCTCAAAAGAGGAATGCCTCTTTTTGCCTTTGCGCAGTTGCCATCTGAATAGTTTATACGCTATTTTATAGTGTTACACACAATATATTTGATATTGCAAATTCTAACCAGAAGTTCCTAGTCCGTTGATTTTTTAAAGTCAATTTAGCATAGTCACGCACCGAGTGCTGCATCTTAGTTGCCACAAATTTCTCCTGATTTTGGATGAGCCCAAAGTACGTCATGGCACGATTCTACTAATGTCTTCTCAGAAATGCTCTCCATCTGCTGCCACAGGACTTACTCCCAGGTAAGTGAGCACAGGACTGCGCCCGCGCCCCCCCCGCTCGCTCGGGGGGGGGTCTTGCTTGCAGTTTCTCCATGAAGCTAGGAAGCACTCTGCATATGCTCAGTGGTACTCCATGGCTGCTGCTTTCACCAGAGCTCCAGGGCTGAGGCCAAGGGAGTAAGCATGCCCTGGGGCCGGGCCTTGGTGCTCCCCATCTGGAATCCATCAAATAAACATTTGCCTAATCCTCTCACTGCTGGGGGAGGGGGAATTTTGCAAGGAGGGCAGGGGGGGCCCTTCCCTACCCAAGAAAAAGGGCTCTTTGTCATCTTCATCAGCAGAAGCATCAATATGCTTCAGGATTTAATTATGCCACTTAAGGTGTCCTGTTATAGTTGGTGGTATATACATACATCCAATTACCTAATCCCGCCTTTCCTTGAGGAGTTCATCCATCACAACAGCCCTGTGAGGTAGCCTCCAGCGAGGCGAGCGCAGGATCCTGCAGCCAGCCCCAGCTCGGCAGGACCGGGGAGAAACCGTGGGAGCTGTGGAGGGGGCTCAGGCTTGTTTGGGGGGAGTGAGGGCATTGGAGGAATGCTGCCCCGGCGGGATCCTCCAACTGCCCTGGAAGACCAGCGGGGGGTTGTTCAGGCCCAGCAGGTCTTGTCCAGAACTTTCCCGGCGTTCCAGAGGCAAGCGGATTCCAGGAGGCAGGAAGGAAGACAAGCCTCATTCCCACCCACAAGTCATGAGGAGGATGGAAGGAAACATCCCCCCCGCCGGCTCCCCCTTCATCTCGGATTGGCCCCTTCCCTTTCCCGGCCGTCCGTCTTTCTCCATTTTCTTTTCTCCTGCCCCCTTTCCCTTCCTGCCCTCTCAGCCACAAGACGCTCGGGACCAGTGGGCCTGGAGCAGACCGGATGGTTGTTGCGACGGCTCCGTTCACGTGCGCAGAAGGCCGAGCGAGAGGCGCAGCGGCACCGCCCGGGGTGGCCCTGGTTCCAGCTGCCTCAGGCGACGTCTGTCGCTGGAACCGGGGTGCCTCTGCGGCAGGCAGCGAGCTCCAGGAAGCGCGTCACTGAAAATGGGGCGTATCTCACGCCGCGGCACCCAGAGCAAGGATCTGGCAAACTTCGGAACCACCCGCCGTAGCTATGGGAAACGGGACAATTTACTGGGGAGAAACTGGGTGATCGCTGGGTGACAGTGCCGTGCTGAAGCTGAAAAGGCCGGTCGTAAGCGAGGGTGCAGGTGCCTGGGCAATCCGGAGGGCCTGAAAGTCATTTGCCGAAGCCCTTCCCCAGGAGCCAGGCAACTGCGCAGTGGAGGCATGCGGGGATCTCACACAGGCCGCTCTCCTCGCACCATCATCCTGTCTTGGGCGGCACGGCACGGCGATGAGGCCGGCAGAGATCAGGCCCGGCTTTGGCATGCGGGGAACGCAGAGGCCTGCTTTGCTCCTGCAGCATAGTGTAAATATCAACGGGTGAAGCTTCGGGTGAATCATCGCCTCCTCTCCTCCCCGCACTCCACTGGTCCCAGAATCTGGATGGCGCTGGGCTTGCCCAGCCCAAAATGCTTAGGTCAAGAGGCCAAGTGTCGGCCAGGCACCTCCATCTCCCAAACCTCGAAGGGGCCGCAGGCATGGCGTGACGGCAAGCGGTTCCTGGGGGACCCCATTGCTGGCCCCAAGAGTTGCCCAGACGGGCCAGGCTGCCTCCCCCACCAGGTGCCCTCTGGCTGTGCTGCCCCACAGCCATCCCTGCCCACCTTCCCCAAATCTCAGCCTGACAGTGGCTCCCCCGCAGCCCTCTCTTGCGCCTGTGGCCGGGCTTTTCCACACCTCCCCCTTCCACAGACCAAAGGCGCTGCCTTGTGTCCAGTGGAAAAATCCCATTTTCCTTTGTCCCTGGAGCTGGTCCGGAACATTTGCTAATGTTTAACTGCTGCTGGTCATCGCCCGGGGCCCTGAGGCAGCACGAGGAGAGGCTGGAGCAGAGCCCTGGGAGAGAGGACCCTCCGCGGGACCCTGGGATGGGGTCCTGGGTCCTGTGGGCCTTGGCCGCCGCCTTCGCGGTTGCGGCTTTCGCGGATTCGGCACATGGGGCAGAATCCAGAAGCGCACTTTGGGAGGACGAGGTGGGTACGCTGCCGGGCATCCGAGTGCGGTCGCCTTGCCGGGTGCCCACACCAATGTCTGACCCCGACCCTCTCGCCACCCTGCCGTTACCTGTTGGCCTTGCAGGGCGCCTCCCAGAAAGGGCACGGGGGAACAGTCTGGCTTCCCAGGACGACACAGCGCCTGAGAAAGAAGCTGCCGTTCTACCGCCCAGGCAGCCTGTCCGTCCTGAGCAGAGGCCTGATGGGAAATGCGGTGAGCACCCGGGCGGCTGGGCAATACCAGAGCGGGCACCAGGCACTGATGCGTTGAGCGCTGCGCCTTTAGTGCTGGCCTGGAATGGGGCCACCACTGCCAATGCCCCGCCGACAAGCACGGGGGTCCCCAGTCGCCACCCTCGGGGGTCCAGAGGCTCCCCTGCCTCACGGTACAGAGCGCGCCCCCCGGCTGACTCCCCTCGTGCCTTTCAGGCGCCCGTAGTCCTGCATGCAGAGCCCAGGGGTGGGCAGGTGGCCCCAGCGCTCTCCCTGCGGGGTGGCCATGAGGCCACCGCAGAAAGGCGCATGCAGCACGCAGGCCTGCCTGGGACTGGCCTCGTGGCTCCTGGGCACGTGCAGAGTCGGGTTCGGACTGGCTGGACTCTGCAGCCCCTCAGCCGGTCCGTCCTTCCCCGTTGGCTCTGTGCAGCAGCGGCTCCCTGGTGCTGAGCCCCTTCGGCGGGGTGGGGGGAGCCGGGGGCAGGGAGAAGATGGGGCGCTTGATGCCCCGGCAGTCCTCCCCAGCCCGCTGCCCGCTGCGGTGATGGGCCAGCACCCAGCATCCCCGGCCCAGAGGGGCTGCACTCCGACTCCTCTGGGGCCCCCGGGGGGAGGTGCTGGTGCCCCCCATGTCTAGGGACAGGCAGCACATGCCTTCTTTGTCTCTCGCGGTATCCAGACCAGGCAAGGCAGTCTGGAGCTGCTAGAAGGGGGTCGGGAGCAGAATGAGCTAGCCCGGCAGGGACTGGAAAATCAGAAACTCGCGAACTCCAGCTCTCCAGGTTCCTCAGAAGGCCGCGACCTTCTCCCCACAGCACCCCCTTCCCCAATCTCCGGTCACTCGGTGGGTTCCCAGTGGTCGTGCAGGCCTTTCCCCCGTTTGCAAGGCAGAGCTGCCTTCCAGAGGCTTCGGTGTTCAGAGTCAGAATCCGACACAGGTTCCGGCAGGCAAAGGGCCACTCGCCCTCCGCCGCCCCCTGCGCCCCCTTCGCCTTGAGTGTGGGGCTCTGGGCGCAGGCCTGCCCGTCCTGGCTATCAAGCGAGCCTGGCACCCAGAAACAGCACGAGCTTTGGGCAGGGAAGGCACAGAGACGGACGGCCCGCGATCGATCGGCTCCCAGGCCTCCGGGACAGACGAGGCATGTTATTGTTCTGTGCAGAGCCTCCCGCAAGGTCACAGTGGAGGAGACCTCTGGAGTGAAAGCGGGGAAAGCCTCCACCGCCGCGAGAGGGAGGCGGCCACTTTCAGGGCTCGTTGTCGGGGATGCTGCGGGACTCAGCTTCCCAACCACACCGGAAGCGGGGAGGTGAGTGGGGAGGCTGCCGGTGGTCCGGGTTGGTGGAGGCACCCTCCGTTCTGGACCCAGGCGCCAGCTTGGAAACGGAACAAGGATCCCAAGCCAGCTTGGCTTTCCTGCCCCAAATCAGTCAGCTGCAGGCGGGCACCGCCTCCGGCCCCTGCGCTCGGCACCCACTAGATGCCTTTTCCATCCGAATTCTGCCTGCGCTTTGGGTTCAGGGAAAAAAGTTTGACAGACCCCTGGAGACTCAATTTGCAAAACGAATTATGCTGGCAGGAACTGCATTCTGGGGAACTCAAGCTGGCCGTCCTGTGCTTGGTGCTCTGCAGAGGTGTGGGACTGCAACTCCCAGTGTGCTCAGCTAGCGGGGGATGCTTGGAGCTGCAGTCCGACACCTCCGAGGAGCCTCACATGCAAGATGGCAGAGTTCGGTGCCGCGCCGGTCGGGCAACCCTTGCAGCACCTCTTGAGGAGACTGTGGCTGCGGGCTCCCCTCTCCCTCTGTCTCCCTTTCCCTCAGAACCGGCCCTCAGGAGGGGACACGGGGCCCCTGGGCAGCACCCCCAGCCCAGCACCACCCATGGGGCACCGGCCTGGCATGTACACGCCCATAAGGAGGATGCGTCAGCCCCATGGACCGTTCGAGGAAGGGCAGGTGGGAACTGCTTGCGGTGCTTCGGGAGTGGAGGGGGGCTGCATGGCCCGGGGAAGACACTCTTGGCCGCAGGGGGTGCCTCGGCACAGGCGTCGGGCGGGCGGCCCAGTGGGCAATCTGCAGGCCAGCTCCTGTGCCCGCTGCTGCCCACGGATCGAGGCAGCCAGGCCCAGTGCCGGGCCCTGGGGGGTCCCTGGGCAAGACCCCCTCCCTGGGCCGTCTCAGCAGGCCCGCCTTCCCACGCCCCCCCCCCCAGCCGCTCTCGCTCCTCGTCTGCTTTCTGGCTGCGGCTCCCCCTTGCCCGCCTGGCTGGCAGCTCGCCAGTGGACGAGGGGCCGGGGCTTCGCTGTGGCCCCTCTCGCCTCCACCCTTGCCCGGGCCGGGGCGCCAGGCGGGCAGGCAGGCAGGTGCCGGGAGAAGCGGGGGGTGAGCCCGGGGACGGAGGGCCCTGCTGGGCTCGGGGCCCAGGGCAGGTGCCGCACCAGCGCCAGCCCCCTTCATGGCACTGCTCCTGCTGGCCGTGGGCAATCGGGAAGAGAACCCGGGCAGTGCTGGCGTGACTCGCCCAATGCTGGCGAAAAATGATCTCCGGAAATGGCAGGGCTCTCTCACCCGATTCCTGCTGCCTTTCAGGCTGGATCCATTTCTGGGGCCAGGCGGGGCAGCCCCCAGGAAGCCGGCACTGCCCACGACCGCTGCCGGGGCTGCTGCAGCGCGAGTGACACGGCCGACACTGAGCCCCCAGGAAGACGGGAAGAGGGCAGCGGGTCCCATGTCTCTGAGGTAAGGAGCTGCCGGCAGGAGCGGGCTAGCACAAGCGGCACACTGGCCCTCTCTTCGCACCGCCTGCCTGCACCCGGGGCGTGCACATGCAACGCTTGGCCGTGTTTAGCGCGCTCCGCCTGACAGGCGGTCAGACGGCTTCCACGTTCGTCTGTTTCCTTTTATTTCTATGCTGCCCCATAACCTGAGGGTTCTCTGGGTGGCTTACGAAATGCTAAACCAGCTTATAACAATACAATCGGTGAAAAAGATAAAAGCAATCAGACTAATAAAATGTTAAACTATTACCTAACATGATAAAAGATAGTACAGAATATACTCAGATACAATCCAAACACAACCAAATAATTAAAACAGACCTATTCATGAGACCTTGGTTTCCACCGTCCTAAAACCGGCTTCCCAGTGTCAGCACGTATCTCATCAGCCACCGCGCCTGAAGGTCAACCCAAAGGTGCGCCACTCCTCGCCTGCGTCACCTGCCTTTTCCTCACTGGTCCACGCAGAGATGCTGGGCAGCTGGAGCGGCTCCTGCAGTTGCCGCTCTTTCCCAAGGACTCTATGGTAGCTGCACACCAACACTGTGGAAACCACGATCCTGGGTTCAGACCACACAGCACAACTTGGGGGTGCGGAGAAACCACGGAATGACCACTGTCCCTTGCAGTGGGTTCTTAAGACCACGCTTCCCATGGCGCAATGGCACCACCAGGCTCAGACCACAGGACCAACCCACAGCGGTAAAAAACCCCACCGTGGTTTGTCACGTCGTCTGGACCCAGACACTGGGGTTTGAATAGGGCCAAAGCCATCTCTTCCCCTTTCAAATCGAGCTCACGGGTGCAATTTCCCCACCCACTTCAGTGGGGCCACACGGGAGAATATTGCCCACTGTTCCCGGGGTCCTCTCCACCCACCTCCCTCCCTGGGGCTCGGAGGCCCCCAGGTCCCTCAGCTGTACCCCGGTCTCCTCTGTCCGCAGCTTCAAGCTGGTGGAACCACAGGTTTGCCTGGGCCCCCCTTAACGTTTGGTGGAGCAGCGCCCCCCAGGCAGAGAGGGTGCTGGGCGGCCTCCGTGTGTGGAAGCCGCTGGTGAGAGAGGGCAACACGCCAGCCAGCCAGCGCCGTTCGCAGCGGGCGTGAGGGGCCCGTGCGGCACGCAGGTGTCTCAGCCCCCCCTTCTCCTGGCGCAGGGTGGTCCGAGCAAGCGGGTCTGGAGGCCAGGCCTGGGCAGCAAGCGGCCTGCGCAGAGCGGAGCGAGCGGGGCTGCCCCCTTCCCCAGAGGCACCCCTGAGCCATCCTGGCCCCACGGAGGCCAGTGAGCGGCGGCCACCACGGCTACGAAAGCGCGGAAAAGACGTCTCCGGGCGCCTGGAGCAGATCCGTGGCCGGAAGCTGAGAAGATGACGACCCTGGGCAAGACGTGCTTGTGGCAAAGGCCCTCCCGTGACCTCCGGATGCTGCTCCGCACGCTCGGAAAAGGAGCGGCCGACCCGGACAGACCTTCGCGAGGACGCTGTGTGCTGCGGGCACAGCCGCTGTTCGACCAGCTCCCCGTCCCTGCAGTGATGCTTGTGAGAGGGCCGTGGCTCTTGCACAAGCAGCCAGAAGCACCACCTCTGGGGCCTCTGTTTCAGGGCTTTCCACACTTACAGCCACATGCCATCTTTCCCCGTCCTCTCCCCACGCCCCGTACCTCGGAACTGTAATGTTGGCCTGCGCTTCATTATCGTTTGCCACTTAGGGAGCCCTGTCGGGTGAGTCAGCGGCCTATAAATTTAAAAATGCATGAATGAATGAGCTTGGCCTCGCCAGTGGTGGGGGCGTACAGGTGAAAGTGGGGGGGTTCGGCATGGCGATGCCCTCAGGCCAAGCAGCTGCAGGAGTCCCATTCCCAAGAGCAGGTCCTTCGTGTGCATTCAGGGTTAAGCTGCCGCAAAATACTCTGCCCGACTAGAGGGGTGGCTCACAGCACATGCATCGTGGGCCAGAAAATTCATTTTCAGCACAGCTGCATGAAGATGGCCACTAAGATCCAGGAAGTCTGGAGGGAGGGCCCCACAAGCCAAAGCTGCCTGTGGTGTTTCATCCCGGGACCTGTGCCCCCCCAGGGGCATCAGCAAAAGCACCCCTTCCATCTTAAGCACCTTGTAAATACAGGTCAGGTTTAATCCAGAACAACACCAAGCAGTTGTCTTTCCTTTCAGATCTGTGTCCGCATTCGCAAGTTGCTCTCTGGGAGCATCCTGGGCTTTTGAATCATTTGTAAAATAATGCTATTGAGGTGGAATAAAAGACCCTGCTCTACTTATGCATTTGTGATATATCTCAGCTGGAATTGGTAAAGGCATTACATGGAGGAGGGGGTGCTTGAATGATGGGAAAGTGCAGGCCGTCTGCTCCTGAGCTGCCTCTCCAACACCCATCTCAGCGGCAGTTCGGTTGCCGTTCTGTTCGCTTCTCTGGCTGGCGCGTCTTCCTGCTGGTGCTCGGAGATGCACTGCCTCTGTCGGTGGAGGCTTCACAAATGCAAGGCCCGTCTCGGCAGGCACCTGCTCGTCTCCCTCCCTTTAGTAAGTGCCCATATCACCCCTGAGATAGGCATGCTCAATGGGGCTTCCCCACACCCGATCCAGAAGGGCCTCTCAGGAGTGGGCCAGGGCGAGCCCCTCAGAAAGAGCTCATCTCTGAGGGCACTCTGGAAATTATTCACACTGAAGAAGTGTGTAAAGGAAGTGCTGGGAAGTGCGCATCCAGCAGCCCGACCAAAAGGTTACTTTCCTTTCTTTCCTCTTCCCTCCCCATCTGCTTTTCCTTGCGTGCTGTGCTTTTTCGATTGAAAGCCTAAGCTCAGGGACTGATGGGACACCATCAGTGAGGAGGAGGAAACAAATTCCCTCGCCACAATCAAAAGGCACATCTTCCGTGTCTTGTGAAAATTTAGGGACTGGCAGATCTCTTGTGGCAGCCCATTCCGCCCAGGCTTTTGACCGTAAGCAACTGGGTACCCCCGCTTTCCCCAACACAGAGCCCGCAAGATGCGTTGGGCGACAGTTCCCATCCTCCGTCGACCTTTCTGGCTGTGGATGGTGGGAGCCATGCGCAAAGGCACAGCACGAAGACAAGCGCAACCCCTTGCAAGCGTAGACCTCAGGTGCCCCGCTGCCCGCGCAGGCCGGCGGCTCCCATCATCCGCACCCCGCCCGGCCCTGTCGCGGCAGCCCTTCCCCCGGCCCGACTCTGCCCGGGAGCCGCGGGATGCGCGGCTGCCGCGCGCGGAAGGGCCCCGCGAGCCCCGGTGCGCTGCGCTGCGCGGGGCGCTGCAGAGCCGGGGCGCCGGGCAGGGCGGGGGCGCCGCGGCCCGGGCGGGAGGAGCGCCCGACG